GGGGGGGGGGGGAGCAGAGGAGAGGAGCTTATTAAAAGGAAGGATCTAAGATCCAGCAGACAGATTTGGACTCCGGGGGTCTACAGCTGGGCCCAAGAGTCTACCTTTCAACCAGCTCCTCGGGGGTGCAGGGGCTCAGCAGACGACACCTGGAGAACTCCGCCGAGAGACACCCACCTGGGACCGGATGACACCAAGTCTCAGCTTGGGCAGCCGCCACCTGATGCTCTAATTAAGAGGGAAAAGGCACTGAATGTGTATTCACGGTGCCCATGTCTGCACACAGACAAAATCTCATTTAGAATTTAAAGATCACCATTGGAAATCAACAAGACACGTATGATGCTCGGTGGCTGATACCCAACAGCAGAAGCTGACGCCAGGATGACTCCCTCCTTCACTGCATCACACCCCAAACCATCAGGCTCTCCAAATCCAAAGGGCCAAAGAACCGAGGAACAGGACAAGACTCAAGTCAACTTTTAGCAATTCAGTGCACTTTGCAGGAAGGATCTGATTAAGCATAAAGTTTTGTCATTTATTTGACACAAAGGAGACCACCAACATTCGCCATAAACTCTTCTAGACTCTTCAGGAAGGCCATCTTCTGCTTGCGATCCAGCGCGGGCGGAGTGCTGCTGGCTGTGAGCTTGTTGAAGGCATCCGCTAACCTCTGGTAAATAATCGGGTCTTGCTGACTCGATAGTAACGTTTCAACCAACTCAGAGTATTCAGCCTGTTGAAGAGATAAGTACACATGAGAACACATATGTTCCTCAAATGCCACACAGAACACCCACTGCTGGACGGTGGGTTCTAAAAGGCAAGGTCTGACAACCTTTTTTTAAAAGTTGTCTACAGTATTGTGTCAGTTTCAGGTGTACAGCAAAGCGGTTCAGTTATATGTGTGTGTGTACTGCGTTGCAGATACTTTTCCATTATAGGTTATTATAAGATACTGAATGTAGTTCCCTGTGCTCTGCAGTAGGTCCTTCTTGTTTATCTTTTTTGTATGCAGTAGTGTGTATCTGCTAATTCCAAACTCCCAATTTATCCCTCCCCCTTTCTTCCCCTTTGTTAACCACAAGTTTGTTTTCCATGTCTGCGAGTCTTTTTCTGTTTTGTAAGTTCACTAGTATTATTTTTTAGATTCCACATATAAGTGACATCATATAATATTTGTCTTTCTGTCTGATTCACTTCACTTAGTATGATAATCTCTAGGTCCATCCACGTTGCTGCAAATGGTATTGTTCCATTCTTTTTTATGGCTGAGTAGTATTCCATTGCATAAACATACCACAACTTCATTATCCAGTCATGTGTTGATGGACGTTTAGGTTGTTTCCATGTCTTGGCTGTTGTAAATAGTGCCACTATGGATACTGAGGCACATGTATTTTTTCAAACTAGAGTTTTTATCTTTTCTGGATATGTGCTCAGGAGTGGGATTGCCGGATTGTATAGTAAGTCTGTTTTTAGTTTTTTAAGGAATCTCCATACTGTTTTCCATAGCGGCTACATTCCCAGCAACAATGCAGGAGGGCTCCCTTTTCTCCACACCCTCTCCAGCATTTATTATTTGCAGACTTTTTGATGATGGCTATTTTGACCAGTGTGAGTTGACACCTCCAAGTAGTTCTGATTTGCATTTCTCTGATAATTAGTGATACTGAGCATCTTTTCATGGGCCTGTTGTCCATCTGACAGTTCTTTTTAATATGTAACATTTACTGGAAGTTTACGATTATCTGGGTACTGTTCCAACCTTTCATATTAGTAGCTCTTTCCTAACAATCCTGTGAGGTAGGCACTGCTTATATATCTCTGTTCTGCAGACAGAAGTTCTGACAGACAGTGAGCTTATGTAACATGTCCACGCTCACACTGCCTCTGAGCAAGAACTGGCTGTTTGGCTCCAGATCTCCTGTGATCACTAACCCTGTCATATTGCCTCTTCCTTCTGTGCTTTCTAAGCATTTTTTAAAAAATACATAACCTAAGTCTGTGACCTTTCAAATTCCTGGAGGTTTATGCCATGTGTTGCCATCGTGGCTCTGAGCACAGCCACACACACACGGGCAGACAGGACCTGGGGGCCATCCTTCCTCAGAGATGAGGCAGGACACCTGGACGACTGTGCCCCGCGGCTCTCAGAGGAAGGGGCTCAGCAAACACAGGAAGATTGCGGGGGTGGCTGTACTTTTTCTGTCTGTAATACCCTCCACAAGAAAGCCTTGCACAGAGGAGAGGTGTGGGGTCAGGGCAGCTCCCTCAGATAAGCGCTCATAGAAAAGCTTATCTGTCTCTCTTTTTCATTAGTGTCCCAGGACATCACCACAGAACAAAATGCTGAAGCCAAGTATTAATCACATATGGACGGAAAGAGTAAGGGACAGCCCCTACCCACCCCCAGCACCAAGCCAGGGTGGCTGCACGAACCACCCTCCCAAGGGAGAGGCCTGCTCCCGGGCACGAGCGCAGAGTCAAATCCCTCCGCTGCACACGAGGAGCGGCAGCACCGCCCGGGCCAGACCAGCAGGAGTCCGTGCCGGCCCACGCCTAGTCCTGCTCTCCTTCCTCCAGTGTAACTTCGGTTTTTTTTTTTCTTTTTTAACATTTTTTATTGAGTTATAGTCAGTTTACAATGCTGTGTCAAATTCCAGTGGGGAGCACACTTCTTCAGTCGTACATGAACATGCATGTATTCACAGCCACACTGTTTTCTCTGTGAGCCGCCACCAGACCTTGTGTATGTCTCCCTGCGCTATATGTACTAGTTTTCCAAAAGGCCATCGGAACGTAACGGCTGACGTACGCGGGGCAAGGGCGCCAGGTGGTGGAGGAAGGCCCCCGAGATGGGCACCACCTGAGCAGGCTCTGCGGGGGGAACAAGGGCCCACGGCCCAGCGCACCCCCGCGGGCGCAGGCAGAACAGGAGGACTGCGGGGAAGGCGCCTTTAAACCCTCCAAACCCTGACCGCCAGTCATGGCATAAGCCACAGCCTCTATGCTTGGAAAAAGCCAAGCTTCCACTGGCAAGGACTTGGGCAGGCTGGGACACTCCCGGGAGCCCGGGGCAGCTGGGGGCCTGATGCGGCCCTGCCCGAGCACCCCCCGGGCACCACGGCCCCCCTGGGACGCGGGGCACACGGGCAGCCCGGCCAGCCCTCTCGGTTCCGGCGCCCCGATCAGGGCCGCTTCAG